CGCCACCACACACACACTCCCATATGACCTTGTTAACTTAACAAATAACATCTACAAGAAAAAACGTATTTCCCCCAAAAAGGTCACATTCACAGGTACAAGGGTTAGGACTCCAACACATCTCTTTTGGGGGGTTGGGGCACAGCTCAATCCATAACAGTATAGGTTATGGTGAGTGCAAACAGAACTGCCCTGCGTGGAAAGTCTCTGAGCAGAGAGCAATAAAAGGTTCCATACAGACAACAGAACTGGTTGGTGCAGGGCCCTGAAGGCCAGGCCAAGGCAATTAGAAGTTGTTCACCAGGAATCCACTTCTCTGAAAGGAACTGAGAGTATTAACACAGCTGATAATAACTAATGACTATTAAGCTCTTGTTTTGTGCTTGACTCTGTGCTCAATGCTTTATTGCCTTATTCTACTTAAATCCTATGAAATAGGAAGTTTTCAGATAAGGAAGCTAAGGCAGAATGTGGTTAGGAAACATGCTCAGTGTCTCACAGCTAGTTAAGTGCAGAGCCAGGATTTGAATGCAGAACCAGCACACTTTAGCAGTATTGGCCATGGCCTCTAATTGCCACTCTGAAAGGTTTAATTGGCAATAATGGGAACGATGGTCATGGCAGCTACGGTGGTGACCAGGGTGGAGACTTGGGGAGATGTGGGCCTGTGCAGGGATAATGAGTAAATCTAAGGAGTGCTGTGATATGGGCTGGGCGAGAAGGGGCTGCTGAGAAAGTGAACAGATCCAGAAAAATGCTGAGTCATTAAAGCAGGGTGTGGCCCACAGCTAGTCATGCTTCATTCTGAGCCTCCTTGTTACTTCTTTTGTTAAAAGAGGCGTTTTAACCGTTAATGGCTATGACACCAACTTCCAATAGTAGCATGCTTTGATTCTGTAATTCTATCAAAGAGGAAACCACGTTTTCTGTGTCTGGGAACTGGTGTATCATTAATAGAAGAAAACATTTGGATGCTTGTTTGAGGTGGAAGCAGAGCAAATAATTAAAAAAAAAAAAATGTGTTGATATTGCTTATGATGAACCATTCAAGAGGAAGTGTCTTCTAGGCAGCTGGAAATATTGTACTAGAGTTGGGATGTGAGGTGAAGGCTGAAAGAAAATTAACCCCTTCCTTAGGCCAATCTTTCTTCATAACTTCAGATGAGGGCAGCTGCCCACCCCAGATCAATGGATCTAGGATATCACACCCTAGCTTGGGTCTTCTCATTTAATGACCCAACGAATCTATTCCACCTGCAAAATATAATAAGAAAGGGTATTACTTAAAATCTTCTTTATACCAGGCATCTGCTAGGCTCTTTACCTATGGTTATTCTCTCATAGAATTCTCGTAACAACCCTGCAGAGTAGGTTTTATTATTCTGCAGTTGACCAGTTCTCTCCCCTTGCAGTGCTACCACCCTGCTCCTAGCTATCATAACCTCTCATCTGGATTGCTGCAGTAGCCTCCTAACTGGTCTCTACCTCTTCTTGCTCCTGCTACAGTCTATTCCCAGCACAGGAGCCAGAATCATCCTTTTCAAACTAAAATCAGACCATATCCCTTCTATGCTCGAAACCCAACCCTGTCTTACTCAGAGGTCCTATGAAAATATGTTCTTTCATTTAACTCATGTAACAACCCTTTGGCAGAGCTATTACTGGTCCCATTTTACAGATGAGAAAGCTAGGCTTGAATGCTAATGACTCATCCAAGGTCATACTGCTGCCAGATGCGAGAGCTGGGATTCTAGCTGGGTCTGCATTATGCCAGAGCTGACTTGGGGAATGTGCATGGCTTTCTCCTTGGGATGTATTCAAATGCCAGGGAATTTAGACAGTGATCACATGTGCAGATAAATTCCATTTATGTAATCCCAAACCTCGACTAGTTTAGTAAATGAACAGTGTGAGTTCTTTCTCATGACCTGAAAAGAAATGAACTGCCTGGTAAGTAGCCACTTGTTCAAGGTGGGTAATTACTGATGCTAGGTTAGCAGCTGTGGGATTGCTAGGGGGGCTGGCGGAATGCAGCACAGGGTGGTGCAAACTTATGTGTACTTTGGGATACAGTGCAAAGTCCACTTCTCACATCACGGGCTTTCTGCTCACATCACGGGCTTTCTGCTCACACCAAAATCTCAAAGCTCATCGTGGAAGATATGACTGCATGAGGTTCGACTCAGTGGTACCGAGCTGATGGATTCATGACATACCTGAGCCCTTTTATCCTCAGTGACATAAATGTCTTCAAATGCCAGATTATGGCATCTTGACTATAGTTCAGTGAGCCAGCTGTTGTTTGCATTTTGTCCCAGAGACATGTATGCCAGAATTTTAAAACTCCTTTGGTGCTGGTTAAGGATGTCCTTGCACATTAGTTTTTTCAGTTCCAGTACAGCAGATAGTTAGCTGAGTGCTTGCTCTTTATAACTAGGAGATATAAAATTGCAACCCAGTCTGTTCCCGATTTTGGGATAGCAGCACACAGGCATTCACCATTGCTGCTGCCTAGAGTCAGAGCTAGGAGGAAGTAAAAAATACCAGGGTAGTTTGAATGTAGAAGAGGTTTGTCCCTGGGCTTAACTTGGCCCTCATTTATGTATTTCCTCTTTTTTCAAGTGGTAAAATGGGTCCAGATAGGACCCATCCTATCTTTCCACCCTTAGTTGAACTGTATGTTGACACATCAATTGTTATACACTGGTGGTGTCACTCCTTAAAGAAATACCATGTTGCCCTGAGTTCTCTTTTCTTTTTTCTCAGCGTGGTTACCCCTCATGGTTTAAGGATTCCACCCCTAGTTTTCTTACAGGATAGGACACAGCTCTTCAAGGCTAGAG